TCAGCTTATGATGAAGTAAACATGCAGCAAAATCTCCCTTTTAAGCCCCGGTTCAACCACTTCTGCCCATTCCGTATTCAACATAGCTTCTTTATCTCTTTGCATTTCTTTTCGTTCTGATATCTTTGTCTGTTGTCTCCACTTTTTTTTTTTTCGTTGTAGTCTTACCCAATCCTTTTTCATTTCGTCACGTAGTCAGTCAAGACACTTTGCATTTCGAATTATATTCAGCGCCTTCTACGCTGTAGTTATGCACTGAATGCATCTTAGTTTCTTAGATGGAGAGCCCTTGGCTGTTTACTTTAGCACAATAAAGGTGAGAGACTAGAGAAACCTGTTTACAGTTTATAAGTTATTGTTTTAATATCGTAGGGCATGTAGCACGAATGGGAGCGAAGAGGAATGCGTATAGGATATTGATGGGAGAACCAGAAGGATAGAGACTACTGGGAACACCAAGGCGTAGGTTGTTGGACGATATTAAAATGGATCTTAGAAAAATAGGATGCGATGATATGGACTGGATTGATCTGGCTCAGGATAAGGATCAGTGGACGGCTTTTGTGAACACGGGAATGAACCTTCGGGTTCCATAAAATGCTGGGAAATTCGTGAGTGGTGTAAATTTGGCTTCTCCTCAAGGAGAGCTCAGCTCTATAAGTAAGTAAGTAAGTTTTAATATTAATACAGGGGACTCAAGCGACTCACGTTTATCTCGCACATGTATGCAATTACAATAAATCTAACATTTGAATTCATTTTTAATACATCTAAGAATGTCTTCCGTGTAGAACCAGCAGTGTCTTGAGGTTTAATATAGAGGCCCACGTTTTTGTTATATGATGCACTGTTAAATTTTGATACTTGGACATGTTTTATCAGTACTAGGGTTCTTTAGGGCCGACTGACATGTGGCAGAATGATTGTGAGAGATTGAATTGGAAAGGATATCGTAAAATGATATTGCTGTTTAATTTGTGGTTTTCTGAAATTCAAATAAACAGAAATCGAAAGATCCCACTCGGTCTAAGCCCGAAACCACCTGTGAGAATACCGTATATACAGGTGTATAAATTGAGGGTCTGGGTCCCACGGTAATAATGCCTTGGTTAGGCCACTAAATGCACCTTAACGAGTCCTTTATAGTCATTCTACAGATTGTTTCACACTACAGAAAATCAAATGGAATGAACAAATTAAAATATGTATTAATAATTACATGAATGAAACTGCAAATCCATTATTCACTCCTCCATAAATACAAACAGCCGATCGCAGTGGCCGCACGGTCTAAGGCATGCACTGTCTTCGCTCGCTCGAACGCTGCGATCGTGGATTCGAATCCCACTTAAGGCATGGATGTTTGTTTATATTTGTGTTTATTCTGTTTATGTTACGTAGCGGCCTTGCGACGGGTTGATCCCCCGCCCAAGGCGTCCTACCGTCTGTCTTAGATTAAGAGACAATAAAATTTACTTAACCTCCACACCATAAAAGGTATAAGAGGAGCAGATTAAGAAAGAAAGAAAGAATAAATACAGACGAAACGGAGGCGAATAAACTTCTAAGGGTGCAGATTGTCTGCAAATTTAAGTGAGCATTTGATTTTACTAAAACATTTTCTGGATTTCAAATTGCGCCATTTTTCCTAACACTTTTAGTTTGCTGGTAATTATTTGAAATATCTAAACCTAGGCTAGTTCGCTCGTTCTTTCGAACAAAACGAGAACATTGACTTGCATATTCGTCACTTCAAATATCCTATCATTTCATGGGACATTAAATAAACTCTGCAGCTGATGTGACCTATGTACCGTACCAAATCATAAAGTGACACATTGATTGTAATAGCAGATTCCGCTCTGTCACATTCATATTTTGAAATGCGCTATATTAATGAACTCTTGTTTAATATGTTTCTATATCTACACACAAACAGTAGACGGAAACATTATTTAAAACTGGAAACCCTGGATTTCTAGAGAGGTCACGTGTGTATATTAAGTAAGAGAATATTTTGAACCAACGGTGTAGCACGATTTTATGCTATAATTATCCTAAATTCCCTGAATAAGAGAGTTCCTTTTCCTCACTCACTCACTCATGGAACTGAGCCCTTCTTGAGAAACCGCCAATTGTGCAGCTACTCAAGAACTTCCCAGAATTTTATGGAGCCCGAAGCTTCATTACCGTGTTCACAAGAGCCGCCCACTAGTCCCTATCCTGAGCCAGATCAATCCAATCCATCCCATCCTATCTCTCTAAAATCGATTTTAATATTTTCCACCCACTTACGACTTGGTTTACCCAGTGGTCTCTTTCCTTCTGGCTTTCCGCCAATATCCTATATGCATCGCTCTTCGCCCCATTCTTGCTACATGCCCTGTCCATCCGCTCCGTTTCTTATTGTCTCTGTCATAATGTCTATGCTTCCCCATCATACTGCTACTGAGCGAACGGACGAGATTTAAGAAATGTTTTAAATGCAATAAAACTCCTTGAAATATTTTTACTCTTACGTGGTAAGTGTGAGTATATGAAGGGGTTTGGACTGGTAATGTGATTTATTTGACAGTTTGTCACAAAACTCTTGACTACGCTTTACAAATTACTATCGCACACAGAGTAGTGTTCTCAGTCAGTCTTCACTTCGCTGCTTGGCAACGTCTTTGAACAGTGGATATTCCTCTCCTTCCGGTTCACGCTCTCGCAGGCTTGCCGTCTCAAGTCTCCATCATATGACAGCTGGCCCTCATTATATAGCCTCGGCACGAGCCACACAGAAAACACCGCTTCCAATAATTACTGCCTTGTTGCATGTTACACAGCCACTACCTAGCAGTGGCCTTTTCTGTGTCTTCACAATTCTTGCTTTGAGCAAATACGCCACAGTACTTTGTAATCTCATACCTAGAATACATTAATATGTAGTCTGAGCGAAATTCTATGTTGGTGACGAAAATTAGTAAGGTTGAAGATCTGAGAAAAAAAAACTATCGCTATGTATCTACTTTAAAGAAACAGGATCCTTCTTGAGTAGCTGATTGAGCTTAAGAAATTGATGTTTTCTTTTATAAAACATGAACGTTTATTCCGTGTTGACAAGTGGAAACAATTTCTCCCTCTCCTAAACTGCATTAACCCAATCCAATTATCTCATCTGCAGTGTGTTACGGCCATTTTTCCAAGGGACCTTACGTCAAAGATGAAGTTAACTCCTCAGGATATTAGACAACTAAAAACTTCAATTTATTCTGATCACCTAGGTTGGTGAAATGTCGAAATAGAGACTAGATTGGTCATATGGATAGAAAGGGGGGATGGAATAAATGCTTCCGAAAACATCTTGTAAAATGGCTACTTGAAACTCCTTAAAGGAGGTGAGAGGATAACAAAACAAACTCTGTGGCCTGTAGCCCTCAAGCGAACTATACCGACTGAGCTAACGCCGTTTGTCGACGAAGTTAGAGCCAACTTTAGCGGGTAGAGGGTGTTGCGTGGTCAGCGCAACGGATCCCCACAGGCGGTAATCTCGGTTTTCTAGACCGGAGCCGCTATTTCCTTGAAATAGCTCCTCAGTTGTTCTCACGAGGCTGAGTGGACCCCGTTCGGGACCCACTACTTCTCAGAAAATCTGGTAGCGCCGGGAATCGAAACCGGGACCTCTGGATCTGTAGCCAGGAAGTCTGACCCCTAGACCATAGAGGCGGTCTTAATACTCCAACAAGGTCTCCTAAAACACATCTAGTTGAAGGGCAGTAGATAGAAGAGGAAGTGGACGTGTTCGAGTTACCGTGGGAATCCGAAGGACTCCGTTAGAGGATGTAGATTCAAGGCGACCAAAATATATATTCATCGAAATGTTAGAAGGAAAACATACGCAAAAAGCTGTTCCCTGAACCCCTTCTTTCCATAAAGAAACCGAAGTCTAGAAATCTGTTCCAGGAATTGCACATTTCAAAGCGTTAGACTTCTGTCTCTTAGAGGCGCTATCGTAAATTATTTACATATTTCATGTGTGAAATTTCGAGCTTCGCTGCGAATGTGATAAATTCCAAGAAATATTTTCTGCTTTGAAAAGATCAAAAATATTTTTACCTCTGCCAACTGAAGTCATAAATAAGCACTTCCAAACATCTGGTTGGGTCGGGTAGACACATATTTCAAAGAAGTGAATTCCGTTTATTGATTTCAGTAAGTTTTGTGCGGTGAGGATATTAGAAGAAAAATCAGAGGTGGCCAACAAGAAATATCATAGTTATTAGACAGTTGTGTAGTTTCTCGTTAAGGTGTGCAGTAATTCAATCAATCCTCTTGTACGATTCGTATATGGAAAACTGTGATTTTGTACGTTATCTGTGGAAGAATTGTATTTTGTGTCTACGTACTGCAGTCCACCAGATCCAATCTATTTACAGCGAGCACACTCGGACTCTCGCTTTATACACGATCTTCATTTTATAAATAACGTATGAAAACAAGATCTAAGAGGAAATCCATTTGGAAGTCCATTTTAACACGTTAAAACCATTAGGATCAAATTCCCTTGATTCCTACTTTTCTTCTTTGTTGCTCCTTTACGTATTTATCTATTTATAAGTTTTCCCATTTTTTGCTCTGAATTTTTGCCTCTTACGTTCAGGATGCAGTTTTTAAAGGCTTTCTTTCTTCTGTCTTTTACCTTATATTTTCCGGTTATTTGGTACACTTTTTAATCCTCTTTATTCTCTCTTTTTATGTATTCCTTTCTTCCTGTGCGGTCTTTCTGCTTCTCCTTCTATTTCCTTGTACAACTGTTTTCTTCATTCCTCTTCTGTTTCTTTATATTCTGGATATGTTTGTGCCCCATTTTTCATTTTCCTTCTAAAATTTCGTCCACTGTCGTGCTGATGGCGACAGGAAAGTTGGAGGGGCAAGCATGTGCCACAACCAGCAGAATGAGGAATATCACGTGTTGTACGATATGTCAACAAATATCAAAATTATGTGTTTAATTTCAGGTCGACATCGCCTGCAGGTAGTTGCCATACTCCAACAAGATCCTGCCTGTGCCACCAAGACACCCTAAGGTGAGTAACAAAATGTGATTGCATAGCTAGCTGGGAAGAGTGCAAGGCATGCTTTATCGAATTTCTGGTTTAGCTCTACGTGTGAAGTTTCTTCGCAATATATATCGTAGGCTTATTTGCTGTTGTTGTTTTTTCCAGTATTCGATAGAGATATAATGAGATCAGTTCTAGACATCAATGTAGGCGCGATAAGAAAACTGCCACAGCCCGCCTTTTCAGTGAGGTGACTGGTATCCAGCGCTTTCATTCGGCTATCACAAGGCCTGACCCACCGCTTCGTGTCGGTTATCACGAGTTTGTATAGCACAGCTGGGAACAAGTTTACATCTAATACCTATCTACCTACGTACCTACCTACCTACCACTCGGCACTACAGCCCTGGGTGAGCCTTGGCCTCCTCTATAACCAGTCTCCACTGCTCTCTATTCCTCATATTCTCTATCCATCCTTTCATCTTCATCTTCTTCAGGTCGTTCTGAACATCATCTGGCCATCTCATCCTGGTCTTACTTTTAACACACACTTTGGCATTGCATTATCTTCCAGTCTTTCGACATGCCTAAATCATCTTATTCTCTATTTTACTGTTAAACCTAGTTTATCTTCTCCTTTCAATAATGTGTTTATCTCCTCATTGTATCTTATCCTCCCTATATTATTTTCCATCACTGCTCTATACATTTTGCGTATTATTTTTCTCTCATTTACATATAGTGCTAGTTCTAATTTTTCATTTTCCCGTAGATACCGAATAGCCATTACTTGTATGACCACCTCACCAAATGTACTTATGTGCCAGATAACTGGGGGGTAGGTAGTGGAGAGTTGTTTTTGAGTGTCGGAAAATGAATTGTATTCGCCTGTTACACAAATATAGGAGCTTTTGAAAGAGAAAGTGTTGATTTTTCTTCTAAACTTTGTATTATGAAGGCCCATAGGGTTGCGAGACGTTGAGGCTCCCACATTATCTAGACAATCGGCTCAGAAATGGCGGTAAGGTTGTCAGCCTTACTCGCCGGCCGCGCTTTACTCCCTAGGAAAATTATTTATTTAATTCCTGGTACTCATTTCTGTTAGAGGCTGACTGAACCCCAGAGACTAATGCGCTGAAAAAATCCAATGATCTCATCGGGACTTGAATCCGCAACCTTCCGGCTTGTAGCATAGTGCCTTAACCACTACGCTAACACGTGCCCCATTATGTTGAGGATAACATAACATAATTAATTACTTTTTCCAACAATGTGAACTGGATTTTAAAATTCCCGCGTACCGTATATTTATTCATTTTACCAGATATTTTATCATCAGTTACTATTTCGAATTAAGAAAGGAATTTTGAATAACTATGTACACATTTTGTACCGAATGTTTCTTTAAAATATCAGAGGATTTCTATATATAAAGACTTCATGCCATGAGAATTTTGTACAAAACAGAACATTTCCATCTTAGAACTCATTGATATAAAAGGAAAATATTGTATTTCCATTTTTGAAGTGGAGAGGAACGTTTTTTATTATTACGTACATCTTGTCAAAACATATCCATGTTATTTTAAAACGCAGCCTTTTTTCTTGGGATATTATTAATGTCAGATATATTTTAAAACTTGCTAATGTGAAGAAATATCTCCAAGCTATTGTGATAGAAATGAAAATAGTTAGATAAGTGCAAAAAAAAAGTCCTAATTTCGCATGATATTGAGTATGAAATTTCTTGAATGACAAGCACACACCGAACCGAAGATAAACCAACTATCCAACAGAACCGTAAGTAACATCAGATTCTCGTATATAGAGACAGAATATAAAGAATTCAAATATAACCCATCGCATATTACAATAAGGCAAACACACGTGCCGAAACAGCTTGTTAACCCACAGTCCGAGGCAACTGCATAAGGAAAGCAGAACAGCATTACAGTGAGCAGCAGATTCCTACATCACAACAGCCTGTACACCTGATGGCCGGTTAGGCCCAAACGTAGTGACAGTCAAGACAAGACGGCGAGAGAATATTAACCGCCGTTGCAAATAGACGGCAAAAAGTGGGACGCAAAGTCAGAACCGATTTTGTTCCTTGAAATTAAATGATAATTCCCACTGCCTCAACAAGAAAATATATAATAATAATTATTCTAATGCCGGTCACGGTAGCCGAGTGGTCTAAGGCGTGCAGTGTCTTCTCTCGCTTGGAAACTGGGATCGTGGATTCGAATCCCACTCAGGGCATGGCTGTTAATTTATATGTGTGCGTTTTTTTGTGTTTGTGTACAGGTAGAGGCCTTGCGACGAGCTGATCACCCGCCCAAGGAGTCCTACCGAATGTGTAAGATCGAGAAAAACCGAAGTGAACGGAGAAGTTCATGTAGATAGGCCAATGCCCACTGGGGCTGTAATGCCAAGAAAAAAAAATTCTAATTGTCCGTATAGGCCAATTATAGGTAAGGGTATCTTAATACTACTTTTGTTACTTTTCCGTATAACTTTCAAAGTTTATACAGAGAAGAGCCTGTGTTTGTGTTTTTTTTTAGTTGAATATTAGAGGCAGTTCCTCTTCATGCATTTGTAACGCAAAATTGGATATTATTGACAGATATTAATAAAAAAATTCGGTGTATGAGCAGTACTGAAACATACGAGTGATTGGTCTCCAGTGTTGTAGAGACAGAAAAATGAGGCATAATATTCAGTTGACCTGTAAAGAACACGTGTAAATTTTCAGACTAATTTGTGCAACACACAATGAAATGAGGTACAGATTTTATAAATGCAGTGTATTTGCATAAGCAGCCCAGAGCTGTGAACTACAAATTTACTAAATCGCCCCTGTCTCTTTTCTATTCATTTTCTTCAGTATGGTCGTCTTTCAGTGAAGCCCCCGAACTAAACTATATTGAAGCTTAACTCTTTTCTTAGTACATTTTCACTAAAGTAAAAGTAAAGCTATACCTGTAACAGGCCGTGAAGGCCTATAGGATTGTGAGACGTTGAGGGTCCCACACTTTCTAGACAATCAGCTCAAAGATGGCGGTAAGGTTGTTAGCCTTACGCGCCGGCCGCGCATTACTCCTCAGGAAAATTATTTAATTAATTCCTGGTACTCATTTCTGTTAGAGGCTGAGTCGACCTCAGGGCCAGAGTACGGCTGGAAGGATTATGTCAATTGGAAACAATCTAATGACCTAATCGATGCTTGAACCCGCGATCTGCCGGCTTGTAGCATAGTGCCTCAACCAACTACGCTACCGCGTGCCCCTAGTACATTTTCATTATGACGTGTTATTTCCGTTGTTGAAATATTTTCAGCTTTAACTGCTGAAGAATAGCGGACGTATTTTTTCCACTATGCCATCTGAAACATCAAATAAATTCAGACCAGAAAGGGCGTGTTTCTGAGCGAAATATCTCGTGTGGAACGCTGAATGGCTTCAAATTAAAGAAACGTGAATAATGGGATTTTGGCATGACGAGGAAATGTGAGGCAGGTTAATTTTAAGGCTGTGGAGATTAGGCGGAGAAATTATGCGCATGAAGAACAGAAGAAATAAGAACTGAACAAGAATTAATACAAAAGAAACTGAAAAGGAAGAGTAAGGAAGGAAAGGAGACTAAAAAGGCTTCTGCAGTACATTTAGGTTAGTAGTCACTTCGAATTTTGCACACTGCAGCATAGTAAATAGAAACATATCGTAGCATGTAGACAGTTTGCAAGGCAACGATCGTATAATAATCAACTGTACAACGGTCGTTACTAGGTAGCGGCCCGTAAATAGCTGTTTACAATTTTGGTATAGTATTCCTACTAGAACTACAACTACAATTTATGATTCGGTTTGAATTAGGCAGAGGACCAACAAGGGTACAAGGATCACCAGTAGGTGAAAAAAGATTAACTTAATTTTTGGGGGATTGTTTAGGTTCAGTCAAAGGGAGTTTAGTCAGTACTTGACTTACATTTGTATATACTGTACAAGGGTATGTATTTTATTTATTTATGTAAAAATGATATTACTACGGCAGGCCGTGGAGCCCCATAGGATTGTGAGTTGTCGAGGCTCCCATATTTTCCAGACAATCGATTCACAAATGGCGGTGAGGCTGTCAATCTTACCCGCCATAGACCCTTTATATCCAGGATGATCCCTGGTACTCAATTTAAATTTTACTCTTGGAAGCAGGTAAACATTATAAAACATATATAATATAATATAATATATAAATTTTAAAATTTTATTATTGAACGACAAACACATATTTTATGTCATTTTATAAATGGACACTTGATGGCAAGCAGTGCAATGGTTTAACGTGATTAATACACCTGAGGATGGCAGAATGATGCCGAAACATGTAGTGTGAAGTGACAAGTGAAACTGTATGCACTAAAAGACGGTTAATATATACACATTATGGATCATAAAACATAATCTGTTTTAAATGTTTTCACAATACCTTCAGACACTTAAGTAAAACTATCCCTGTAACAGGCCATAGAGGCCCATAGGGTTGTGAGACGTCGAGGCTCCCACATTTTCTAGACAGTCGACTCACAGATGGCGGTGAGTCGGTCAGCCAATAAGCGCCGGCCGCCCTTTAACCCCAGGAAGATTCCTGGTACTCATTTCTGTTAGAGGCTGAGTCCACCCCGATGCCATAATGCGAGTGGAAGAATTCGATAAATTGAAAACATCCACCTGATCGGGATTCGATCCCACGATCTTCCGGCTTTTAGCAGAGTGCCTCAACCAACTACGCTACCAACCTAACCTAATGTAACCTAATTAAACTAAGCCCAACATGAACAAGCCATCCCCGAATGCAAAGGTGGAAACGGAGTTGGATTCGTAGTAGTTCCATGCGCAAACCTTACCTAATTAGACCTCATAACCCCAGTCTGTTAAGATTGCCCGAATGAGCAGTTGTATATGGACTGGTTTGATGTGTCATCGTAACTAACTAACTAGTTAACTAATTAATTCATAGAACTGAGGCCT